CAAAAGGCATTTGACTAGCAGGTCGAACAACTGATGTTCTTAAACCCTGCTGACTGCCATTGGCGATTGCCAAATAAACGGATCACAAGATGTAACAAAACAGATCTTATTATTAAATTATTACTAAACAGAAAACAATAAACTTGCGGAAAAGATGGTATACCGCAAACATGAAGTGCAAGAATTTGTACACCATATCCGGATTTCGACAATTAATGTCTCTTCAGTAATGTTAGGAATCGAAACGGTATTTGGAAGGCCATATAATTTACCTCAATTTAGGATAGACTCTTGAATTTTGAAAGAGTCAATATATATATATATTTGATAATAAAAGATTTTATTTACACCAAGGATTTGTATATGTATACACATAAACAATCTTACTTTTAAATTGCCATCTCTTTACCCCAGAATAAAAAGACAAAAACCGCTATAAATGATTAAAAGACAAAAACCACTACAAATGATTGTCTCGTGATAACAAGGTTATAAAATACTTTTTAAATAGTGTCTTCCGTGTTGCTTTGATGTATGACCTGTGTTTTTTTTATAGATTTTTTGTTGCTTCGAGGACACACATATCCATCTATGTATGCAGTATTGTCAATTGTTTTTGTTGGTGGGTCTCTCGCTTATGTTTTCGCCCTTTTCACTATCAACAAAGAGTTCGTTATCAGTTTATTCAACTAGGAGTATATCTAAGTCGTAACTATTAAGATTGTCATCCCACGAAATTAAGATTGTCATCCCACGAAATTAAGATTGTCATCCCACGAAATAAAATCGGAATTTTCCATATTGCGTGCACATGAATGAAGCTTTATTCAAATGAGAAATTAATTGTAATTTTCTTAAATATTAATTCTCAATACACACTTCGAACATGAAGAAACCATAAATTTACCGACAATCATTTAAAAAAACAACTCAATGCAAGCCTATATGATAAAACTGTCAAACAACCATTTACCGACAATCCTACAGAAAAAAAACTCAATGAAAGCCCAATAAATGAGGAATATAAAAATACAACTCAATGCAAGCCTATATGATAAAACTGTCAAACAACCATTTACCGACAATCCTACAGAAAAAAAACTCAATGAAAGCCCAATAAATGAGGAATATAAAAAAAATAAAATTTTAATAATTTATTAAATATCAAGAATAAAAAACAAAGCCTATCATGATTAACAATTAATTAACAAATAAATTAAGTTTTTTTCCATATTAATTAATTATACATTTTGTGACTTGTATTTTTGGAAAGAGTGTGGACACCTGTGGTGTGACAACTTCTTGTTTACAAGGTGTCAATTAAAACTCATTATTTATAACATGTTCGTGATTTACCTGGTCATCGAATAATTCAAACCTAATATACATGTCACACTGTGAAATTATGTCTCCCAGACAGGTGTATATTCAACAGAAACCCATTATGTAACTATCAAATAAAATGAACTCTGACACAATTTATCAAGTGTTAATTATTTAATATCAGTTTTTTTTTATACAATATCAAATTATGTCTCTTTTTCAATAATACAAATCTAAAATCAAAATTACATTAAAATAAATAATTATATATGTACTCAAATTATATTTAATTAATTATGATAAATTTAACACTGAAACAATTTATGTTATGCTTAAACATTCGTCCTTACTTCGAGTACTTTTAATACTTTTATTAATGACTTTATTACCTAAGGAGATCTCGCGATGTTAAACTAGTGGCCGCGTGTTATTACGGGATTTCGCCGAGTTGCGAATCTCTTGTATTATATGTCTCTGGTTACATGTACATTATTACCTACGCAATGTATGAAAAGGTATATACATTTTTTAAATCTAAGTTAAATGAAAAGGGGGGAGTAACTGATCCCCAGGGGCACCCTTATCTATTAATTGTAAAATAGCTACTAATTGCTAAAGAGATTATAAAGTCGTCTGCACAGTGTCATGCCCCATGTTTTTAAAACAACTGATAAACAAATACAAATATCAGGTTTACATATATCTAGTCAAATAGTTTTTCGTGAAAAATAAAGCACACACATCTTCCTGCTTTTATCCAATAATTAAACAAAATGTGCATAATAATATTTACCTTTCGTTGTGCTTTTAGGGTACATAAAACAACCATCAAAACAAAATCACTTTCGCTGTTTCGTTGCGTTGACTTTCTATAAATTTTCTATGTTTCGTTCCCCGGTTTCTTCCAGTTAATCGACAAGTCACCCATTTCAATTTATCTGCTTATGATAAATTTTGATTCACCATTTTGAAAAACCAAAGTTCTTTGTATCATCTTGTCTCTGTCCATTCAAACTTTTTAAATGACAACAGCGATCGCGTGAGCGTCCATGGATTTTGCGTCATAAAATAATAAATGGTAACGGTGAAAAGATTTCCGGGTTTCCGTATTCGACGCACCATGCAAGCTTTCGTACATTTACGTATATATATATATATGATGGTCTGGAATCAAGATTGGGGTTTAAGAATATAGAAAATAATGACAAAAAGTGCAAAATAAAGAAAAAAAAATAAAGAACAGATACTAAAAAAAGCAGAAATATGGAATAAAGAATCATAGAGAATAATGGGATTATTGATAAAAAAAAAGAATTGAGAATAAAGAACAAACTAAATAAAGAATATTTATTCATATTATTATTTAATATTTATAACTCATTCATTTATTTTACATTATGTTCCATTCAGAATTAGATAGCTCTGCTGTGGGGGTCACATAGCCTGAGGGCTGACATGCTTATATCATCATGATGATGTGGGATTTAGTGGGAAGAGTAGAAAGTGCACTTTCCTGTTTGAGAAATACACTATATAGATAATGAATGAAAAAAATGTATGTGATAATTAAATGACAAATTTTGACATTTTCTCAAAACATTTTTTTTTACATGTCCTTTAAAACATATGAAAACATATGAAAATCATATGTTTTTCATATGTTTACAAACATATGTAAACATATTTTTTAAAACATATGAAAACATATGTTTGCTTCCATATGTTTCCATATGTTTCAAAACATATGTAAACATATGTTTGTAAACATATGTTTTTCATATGTTTGGGACAAACATATGAAAAACATATGAAAATCATATGTTTTTCATATGTTTTGAAAACATATGAAAAACATATGTTGCAATTTTTCCTGTGTACAACAACTACTATTTTAACCAATAAAGATAATAAAAATGAAAATTCACCGTTTGCATTTTTACGGACATATTCCTGGACAAGTATTTGGCCTATACTCAACTTAGCACAGGGGAAAAGCATATGATGATAATAATGATGCATGATCTGGTTTTAACCCACCATTTCTTTGGAAAATGCCTGTACAAAGTCAGGAATATGGCAGTTGTTGTTCACTTTGATTGATAGCGTTTGATTTTATAATTTTTTATGGACTGCCCCTTTTTGAATTTGCCCTAGAGTACGGTATTTTTGTTATACTTGTGTTCCCTGCCAAAAATAAAGAGGTTTTTATTTAGATTATTTTGATTAAAATCAACACATTGTAAAGCTTAAGTCTGCGTTTCTTCTTCAGAACAAAATCAGAATATTTGAAACTTGATAAATAAGAAAAATAAACTGGTAGGCAGTTAATTGAAAACTCAGGTTGAAAATTATAAATAACAAATATTTGTGTTTGTATTCAAAGCTTTTCCAGATCAGTTTATGTCCATATTTATTGAAAAAGTGATTGAAGTGAAATACAAATATTTACCTGAATATTTTCATAGATGGATATATTGGTAACGACCATTACTTTGAAATCCTGTCAAAAGTTTTCAGGAAAGAAGATGAAAATATAACATTCTACTGACGATGAGTGCCAAAAAAAATACCAATTTCATGTTGACCCTTTTTGGAAGGGAAGCTAACAATTTGTTTTGAATGCCACAAGGAATTCATTTAAGACATTCATTCAAATAAAATGTTTCAGTTCACTTCGTTTTATTTTGAGGTGTAGAAATCTCAAGTAAAGTAGTAGTTTGGACCAATACAATACATTTTTTACCCCAAAATGCCTTTTGTAATTTATCCTTACTGATAAAATTGTTTGATTGATTTTTGTTCAAATTTACCGATATAGGTTGATATTCATATTGTCCTATAATCAAAACGTTTTTATCTAATGAACTTTTATGTTTAGAAGCAAATGGAGAATGGAGTTCCTGGAAATTTTGTGAGGTGAACTGCGTTCGTGAGGATAAAACCGAAGGTATACAGAGGAGATGGAGAAAATGTAATGGTGCAAAATGCTCTGGCCCAGAAATAGAAGAGAGACCATGCTAAAAGCCGGGAATATGCAAAGGTATTTAAACGTCATTTTCTCGACGTATAATGTATTTGAGTTCATCCCTTGCTTTAAGTCATTCAACTCTACGCGCATGTAGCAATACAGTTCACACATCGTTATTCAGACTATACATTTCAAACGCACTTACAGGCATTGAGTACAGACAGATTCTCCTTTCTGAAGCACTTTAGATAAGCCAGTATTTTATTACATTTGTAAGTTTTGATTACTTCCGAGTTATTTGTTGTTGATTTTCTTCTTTTTCGAGTAATTTCATTGTAGTCCTTCGACATTGTATATAATTGTTTGTTCTAATAGTATACCTTACTTTATTTTTAACATTTGAAACCTTCCTATGCTTCAATCAACATATTTACTTATTTCGTCATAAGATAATCTATCAACACAATTTCGTCATATAACCTTACCTTTCAACTGATTTTTTTATCAGCTTCTATGTCATTTGGTATCTGGTGAAGAGTTGTCTCATTGGCATACATACCACATCTTCTTGTTTCTATAATTACTGTTTATTCATTTATTTAGCTGATAACATAGCTTATATCATTTGGTTGTTTATTTTATTTAACTAATTATTAAAACAATGACATATTGCGGAAAGATAAAAAGAAGATTCCTGTTGTTATTTCAGGAATGAGACCAAGGAAACTGCTATGTAAATGCCCAAAGAGGTTAATTAATACAAAATGGCACGTCCTTGATGGAAAAAATATAACGAATTCAGAAGTAAAGAAAATTGTCCTCGAAGATTTCAACAAGAATGTAAAATCCGAGATCACGGTTGACAAGAAAACTGTATCAAAAGAGGAACGAAAGAAACACTCCTCGGTAAACAAAAGAAAATCTGCACAATCTATAGGATGGGGCTGCATTGTTTTTGTCATTCTTCCAATGGGTTTCCTTATTGCCATAGACATACTTAACTGCTGTATTCACTTCCAAACTTACCTTGGTCGAAGGAAAAGAAATCGAATTAGAGCAATTTCTAACATTCAAGATCAGAGCGATAGCTCAAAGCCTCTGCAAGAAAATGTCAGTATCACCAAGAAATTTTATGCCAGCAAATTTGGCAATAATTTTCATCCTGACGAAATGAAACAAGAAACATATCAGAGAATACAGGAAGACCAGCACAGCAGAATGGAATGGATGCAGTACATCTAATTTTTCATCATGTCATATTTTAAACTGCGCTCATGAGAGTGATGTTCTTTCCTTAACGAACAGTATGAATAATATAGAAATGTAGTACTCTATGCGAATAAACACATAGTTTGTAAATAAAGACTTCTTTTAAAATTATCATGATTTGCATGCCAAACTGGATTTTCTGGGGGTATACATCCATTAAAACACGAACCTAAAACAACAAAACTCTAACAACAACGTCAATAGGTCAACATACAATCAGTCTTTATAATTGAAAAATTTCCGTACCACAAGTCGAGTTGTAAATTGCCTAATCAAGATAAGATGTTTAAAACTTTAAAATGATACATAAAAAAGAAAAACAAGTTAAGAAACACTTGCATGAATATATATAGATAGATAATACAACGACTGACGAAAAATTTTGACATGTGCAGTTGCTGAAGAACAGGCATTTTTGTGTTAACAGCCCATTTCATAATTTTCTCTGATATAATTATTGCTTTGCACTAAATATAAAATCTCGAAGTCCTAACGTTAACATATAAAACATAATTGAAAACTATGAATACTGATGTCCGACAGCCTAATCTGTTAGGAACATCTGAAGGTGGTCATTTGGTACTTTTTGATATTTAAATTAAAACGGCCAAAACATTTGCCTTATCATACATTTGTACCTTCTCTTTTGTAAATTTATATCATCCCGTGTCTAACAAAATTGTGAATCAACTTAACACCACTTCCTAAAAGAACAGTATGATTAGCTAAAGATTAACAGTTTAATGTTTTTGACTTCGGACAGAGACATTATCATTTGGCGGATTTAGACTTGTTTGTTTAATCTCATCCCCTCTTTTTCTACTTGAATCTTGATCAGTGGAGAAACAAAATGTAAACAATTCATAAAAACAGAAAATCGCAGTATCTAAGGAATGAATGATTACACCAAATGCATGTAGTCCCGAATGCTAATCGTGGTCGATTTTTATAGAAATTATCCTTTTCTCTCCGTCAAAGATATACCGTAGATAGCGTGTAAACTGAATTCAGAAGCGTATTGAAAATAGAACATATTAGTTGTATACCGTCTTAATAGTACATGTACCCTCAAGAATAGAATGCCAAAGCATTTTGAAGATCGATCTAAATACGATGGGATACTTATTGATATGTGTTGTTTGGTTATCTGTCTCTTACCCGAGTTTACAGTTACGTTTTCAATTAATTCCTAAATTGACGTGATGCATTCCTTCTGCTTTGCTAACTTCAAAGTGTTTATCATAATGCTACAAAAACAGATTGCTTTATAAAATAGATAATGATGATTGTTAGAGTTATCACTCTTTAGTCGGAAAATCATATTTCTGATTTTGTCATTGCTATGCTGTATAGTTCTATCCATGACCATAGCATAAAATAGTACATTATGATTTCAATTAGATACTAAAACTTGATGTTTTGACACTTTGTCCAAGACGAGACTCCTCACGAAAGAATTTACAAAGATGAATCTCACCTTTTGTTCGTAGTCAATGATGATTCAAAACCCTAAACAGTATTCCATATACATGTCGAAACATTGGAAAACCGCTGACCAAAATAATTGACAGCAGATTGTCTCGTTTAATTCCTCTTCACTGTATAAGGTGGAGTCAGTTTTGGTGACTTTATAACTGAGACAAAATAATATCAAAGGAAACAATTGAATGCGTTCAGGTATATTGTAGGATAAAATATCGAACAGTTTCTTAATTTACTCGGCACACTCAAAATGTTATTCTGAAAATCACATTTTGGAATTAAATATACATTTTTAAATACACGAACCATAAACAACAAACCACTGAAAACATACTATACTGATTTGTAACATCGCTTTAAACAGGGGTGCATGTAGTTATATCAACAACATTAACCTGATTGTGTACAAATTTATAATTTTTTAATTTGATTTATTGACTTTTTTATAATCTAAATGACTAAAAAACATTTTCCATGTCTACAGGACTTTATTTACCGATGTCTATGCTATAGGCACGGATTTCGATAAAAACCTGCATCAGTACGTTGAAAGCTAGAGAGTTTCGAGTTGCAAATAAATCGAACATTTATAACGTCAGACGCAAACAATGCGCTTACACTATGGAACCAAATAAACCAGATAAATACATCTCAGTTTTTATAATTTTCCAAAAAGGAATAAATACCAAGAGGAAAATGTAAAACACACGTCACGGAAAACATATAACACATTAACACAAAATCGTACTGACAAGCATTACTCCCTAACAAAACACACTTGAATCACGAAAAGATATCCATTATAAATTTTGACGTTAACCGTTATTTTGGTATAACCCTTAGCCAAAGATACAAAAACGAAGTTTGAATGCTATGCATTTTGGGTCTTTTATCCATTTTTATTTCCATTTAAGGCACTTTTGTACGGTTTTCATATTTCTTAGCTCGTTTTCCATGTCCGTGTCTGTAATGACTTCACGAACTTCAGAGATATCTATGTATAATTAGTAGTTTTGGAAGTCTGGGCTTATGCTAAACAAAATTTAAACATTTTAACTATATTTAAAAGTACACAGATATTTGGTTTAAAAGTTTGATTGTATTGATATCAAAATCATTTGATATCTTTGAAATCATGTCCATTTTATTTTAGGAATCAGCTTTAGTTGGCATTGTGTGTTGTTGTTACGAATAACTGTTAAAAACTCCTTCTGCGGCACTAACATGATTTGTAACATATCATTCTTGATTTCACCGTGTAAACATTCAAATAATATTTTAAAAAGATCTTCCACATTTCTTAGTCAAAGATGACATTGGGAGGATTTTTCTATTCGTGTTTAATGTGTACTACCTCCTCAGATACTCCAGTGTTTATAAATCTTGGACTATTGTTTTGTTTGTTTGATCGTTCCGGATGCAGATTTATCTAAATAATTGTTGTACCGGATTTGGGCAAAAATTGTTCATTGTCCATGTCTTTTAAGATTAATACCACACATGTCATGCATATTGTCGATTATTATGTAACTATGAATGATTTCTTTGATACTATTTGCCTTAAAATGCCATAATGAAAATTTCATAGCTAAATCGAAATGCATCTTTCCTTCTTTTTATTATTCTTATTATAACATAAATGTCAATGTTTTCCGCTTAAACACATGGGTGTGCGATAAGGTCTTGTTTCCCTTCTCTATTTTTCTTACAACGAAGTATTCATGGTTCAAAATGTTTGTTGATTTGATTTGTCCTTATTTAGTCATACAGCTCTTCAATTATTTCGGTTGTAATACATACTTGGCTTTCAAATAATTTGGCTTAGACGATCCAAATGAAGGTAAACCAAGAAAAGCGCTTCGGACGCATGGAGTTTATAATGTGTTATTTTTATTTGTTCCGTTAATTGCGAAAATATCCCAAAAGTATACATACTAATTGATATAGATATTGATAATACCACTTAGACAAACGAATATATATATGTATATACCCGCACGTAAAACTATTGAAATAAAACGTCTGCGGTCAATGTTGATGAGCCATGCTGCGCAGGATTGTTAATTTACAATATTGATTAGTAAATACTATTGATAAATACTAAGCATAAGCAATCCACATGTGTACATTATGTCATACTCGAGTTATGATTATTTGTTGTATTTACTTTTCATTTCAACGTAGAATTGACATGAGCACAAGATCTCAGTAGTGCGAGCGTCGTAATTCATTTGTAATACACCCAAACAAAACACACCGATAACAAAAGAGAAATTCCTATAGTTAAAGGATATTGATGTCGTAAGAATGAAAAATGGATATATTTCAAGCAGGTATTTAAACTTAGGGTTTAAGGCTTCTACTTCGGTGAGTCAAAAATGAAACTTAAAAAAGTTACTGCAGTGAAGTGTAAAATCATTGTCACACTTCATTGAGATGTTTCAGCAAGACAACAGCAATGAACAGGTCAAAGTCAAATACAGATGTATGACATTAAACCATTTAAGTTAAACTGTGAAATATAATTTTCAACCTTTCAATAATAACTCGACAATCGTTCTGAAACTTTATGGGTCAGGCATTCGTCCTCAGACTTATACACAATTCTATATTAATCTTAGTCTGATTGAAATCATTACTTTCACTTGCGATCGGGCGCCACATTTTAATAAATGATAACAAGTGAGAGGTGTGATTTAAATCAGACTGTATTAATCTGCCACAAAAACTACAAATGAAATGTTACAATATCAGATTTAGATATTTGTTTACGTTGTATGAAGAATTATTACACCATATCGTTTCTTTTTCATTTCAATACATATACTTTTGGAGCTTATTCCTGACGAATGTAGCATCGTGCTTTTAATATACATATACCTAATACAGGTATGTGTTTTTTCAATGATGACATATTGCGTAACATTTTGACCCTCGTTTAAATGTGATTACTACAAAAGAAAGGAGACAATAGTCCTAGTAAAACAGGACAATATTCCAAAATAATTGCAATGTAATTTTTTATAATTAATATGTCACTATCAGATAATGAAAAACATGCAACTTTTTGCAGCAATGGCGTCAATAAATGAAGTATTTGGTTTGTTCTTCTGCTTAACCTCAGGAGCACCTGACATTACTTCCGATTTTGGTTGGGTTCGTTTTTTTCTTGGATTTCTTCATATATTATTAATGCTTCTGATGTTTATGTTTTTTTTGGGTTTTTTTTTTTTTGGGGGGGGGGGGGGGGGGAGGGGGGAGTATTATACAGTTGTTTCCTTCACAACTAGAGTAGGCGTTGTTAATTTAAAAAAGAGAAGAAGTCATCGTTGAACTGTAATATTTTATGCTCGTTTAAGCATATTAAATAGAGACGAAAGATACCAATGGGACATTCAAACTCATAAGTCGAAAATAAACTGACAACGCCGTGGCTAAAACGAAAAATGACAAACAGACAAACTACAGTACACAAAAGTCAACATAGAAAA